CAAATGTGTCAGCTGAAAATCTATCACACCAACAGCCCACTTCACTTGACCACACAAGGACCAAACAAGAAAGACAAAGAAAACCCAGAGCGGGTGATAGGTGATACGGCTCATCTCACCCAACTCGTTACGGCAGAGCGACACGGCCTGCCTTGGCAGTATCATGGATTGAAGTTGGGAAGTATCCTGGACAGCGGTCACTGGAAGTGGCAGCAGAACGAATTGACACACACTAGACAAGAATGGATCATTATATGATCCGGCAGGAACTGAATCCTGAAACATGCAGATTAGATATGAAACAAAGAAATTAACGATGCATCCTACGAATAATAGAAGTTCTCCTGAATGGTTTCCATGGCCAAGATCGTCATCAAAAATAAATCGGCGACGTGGTTTTGATGAAATACCCCAAATACATCGGCGACTTCGGCGAAATAATCCAGAAAATCAAAAATACTGTCGGCGACATGGTGTCGGCGAAAATACTGAGGAAGGTTCTGATGCAACTGAACTAATCGTAAATGACCAACGGTAATTCCAAATGTAAATTCCATTGTTTGAACAAACGGCTTAGTGGTTCTTGGGTTAGCCACGTCCCATCACGAGTAAAAATTGCAGGTACGTTTGCGCCCCCATACTCTGGTCTTCGTTGGCCAGGACAGACAGCGATGGGTTCCTGGCCCCCTGCAAATTAGTGAAAAACCAATGAGAAGTTTTACATCTGTTCAGATGATACACACACACACACACCTCGCATGTAGCGAGGTTTGATTTTTGGAAGAGCTTCGCTGGCGGAGTCGGCAATACACCAGTTAAAGTGAACCTGTAAAAAGCTAATGTACATACGGGCGATCACTTCATTCAGAAGAGAAATTCGGAGCTTGTAGAAGGACTTCGATCGCATCGTGGAAGCTCATGCGTTCAACCATCGCCCAAGTCTCATTGAGTTCCCCAGATGCCGTAGCAGCCTTCAAAGTGTCAGATAGATCTTTGGCTAATTCGTGGAGCCGGGTGGTTAGGCTCGGTTCATCTGCAGGAGATGTCGTCTCAATGGGCACATTGTGAAAAGGATGGTGTCCGTGTACTAGGGGGATCTCAAAGTCATGGCGCCAATAGTCCGCAGTCCGTAAAGACCACTCCCAATTGCCAGAAAGACCGTAGAAATAGTGTTCGGGGTCACGACATTTGGAGATTCCCGAGGTTGGAATCTCTTCAATGAATAACTCCCTGGTGTTGTTGGAGTGAGTAAAGATCTTGAAGTGGATCTGATGGACCACCCGTGATGAGAAGCGAGCGTGGTGGAATACATTGAAGGTGGAACTCTCGTGTGTCGGAAAAGGTACACCAGGTTGCGTTGGAGCTGAATATGTGTCCATTGGTGATATAGTGCCTGGGTCATTGAGTGCAATATTTGGCTCCAAAGATGCCGAGGTGATCGAAGTCGTAGGAGGGGAAGCGTCAGAGGCACTCAACTCAACAGTCTGGTAGCCTGGCCTTGTATCAGGATCGGTATAGAAGAAGTCCCACGGTTCGAAGTCGAAGGCCATCCCAAGCCCGCCACGGTTGCGTCGCGCTTGTGCTCCATGGGTGAAACGATCCCGGGAATAAAGTTGGTAAAAACCCAAAAGCTGAGGGAACATATAAGCGACAGACATAATTAATAGAGAAGCAGTACATAAAGCAGGTACAAACGTTGGCGAAGTCCTGAATCGAGGGTAAAGCAAATAAATTCCGTTTTGTGTAAATGACAAGACATGAGGCGATTAAGTCTGATAAGGACCGTGGTAAGGTTGTACTGTCTTTTTACTCCGCGGTCTGGGTTTCGCATGAAATCACGGTAGGATAATACCTTGGCGAACTTTATGGCAACGAAGTCGCAGTATGAAAGGCTGTGAAGTACCAGGTACGAGCCAAGTAGAATCGATGTAGTTGTACTGCCTGATGCGCCATTCAGGTCGGTATTCATCCAAAAGTTGCATGATGGTCCAATCGATTGGTACTTGGAAAACATCTCCTTGAAGATCAGCGTAGCGAAATTCCAGGTCAGAAGGTACCATGTGAATATCCCATTGAGTGCGTAATCTCGTTGTCAATGCTGTGCGTAGATCTCGCAATGGGAAAATGCCTGCTTCAACTGGTTCAAATTGGCGTGCCCAGGTGAAAAGAGCTTCAAGTTCTCCAGCACTAGCGTTTCTGAAATTGGAACTGGCAAGAGCACTGTATTGGACATGATCAGGTTGACTGCGATGTGTCAGTTCTTGTAAAGGAGAGTAATCCACCAGAATCAAAACCGGTCTGGGTGGAGGAGGGTCCCAGTCACCAGGAAGGCCTCCGTGTCCAGCAAGCCATGCAGAAGTTCTAGGTCCTTCAGGTGTGTTCACCGTAGATGTAGCGCGATATGGATGAGGTCGAGAGGAAGGAGCCATGGCGTCGAACTAAGAAAGTTGAGCCCAAGCTGCATAGTTGAAAAGTTACCAAAGGACGGTGAAGAGTAACGTGGAAATAGTTGAAGGAGAAATTGTATCACGGTGAATACCCAATAAAATCCCAAATAGTCGGTCTTCTTTACTATCGCAAAGCGGAGTGGTGCGTTACACGCTGGAGTCAGACATATCCATAGGGCCCGGTTCGTCAGGTGGTACTGGTCGATGAGGATGATGTAAAGGTGTAGTAGGGGTGTTCGAGTGAAGGGGTCGGTGAAGTGTTGCCGGTGGTGAGGATGGTGGCGTAGATCTCCATGGTGGCCACGATAAAGATGTAGTTGTACCTTGTGAGTGATGTTGAGCAGAGCGTCCCCAGCAAGATTGGAGAATGTGTAGTTGATCCGGTATGGCCTCAAATGGTTGTAAGACATGGACGTTGGTATGTTCAGGATGTGGAAGAACCGGAAATGGTGTTGCCGTAGAGGGGGAGGATGAGTGGACGGGTATGTCGTAGTACTGGCGCCATTGGTTGGCGGTGGTGTGTAGTGTCGCCCTGTCACGCGTGAGGTGCATGTTTTCCAAAAATGTTTCAACAGGCTTCCAGGTTTCTCTGCCATCTTCGGTCCGTTCCAAGATCCAAAGTTCATCAGGTCGAGAAGTGAAAGGGTAATTGATCTTCTTGATGAAAATAGTGTGGACAGTGGTAGAAGTCGGAATCATTCTGGCCGCACGGGGAATATACGATGCCGAGGTTGGATCATCAGATTGTAAAGATGGTCCAATGGTATTGGTCAAGCTCATCGAATAAGGTGCTGGAAGCATCCGGGGTGAGCCATCAGCCGTGTGGTTCGCCATGTAATGGAGGAATAAATAAATATAAGTTCGAAAGCAATCTGAAGCCGAAAAAATACCGGAATAGAGGTGCAAAAGAATGCTTGAGAAGAATCACATGAGGAGGAAGTAACAGTGGTGAAACTCAAGGAAACTGGGAGTCAACAGGTAGACAAATGGTAACCAAGATTTTCAACGGAAAAGCACGAATATTTCCAAGAGCGTTCCTGTTTTCATTTCTTTTCTGGGTTGGTAGCCGTGTGTCTCGAGATTCAAGCTGCAGTTTTTGTAGATCTCGTTGCCGTAACGAAAGGATGCCCTCGAGGAATCACTTGAATTTGTACAGCAAAGCCCGTATCATGTGAATCTGGATGTGGTGTCAGCACAAGAGGTGAGCATTCGCGAGACGTGAAGGCATCGAGGTGTTGGTGAGTCTTCCAGGAAGGATAATACCAGTTCAAGATGTCCAAAAGAGAGTGGGGAAGATCATCAAGCATCTGGGCTCCTTGGTCCGTATCTATCATCATGTAGAAGTCGGTGGCTTGAAGGTGTATCGACCATCTTTGTAGAAAGGTATCTGTCACCACAGTTTTCAAGTCCGAAACATAATGACTGCGGGCGTAGTCTGGATAGATCACTTTGAAGGTCTGGAAAAGGCTGTCATATGTTTCAGTAGAGAGGTTGCCTGCGACCTTGGGTGCCAAGATGTTGAAGTACGGATTTCTGGCTGCCAATTGTTGCATAGGTTTCAAATCCAATTGTAGGATGACCGGTCGATGGGGTGTAGTAGATGGAGGTGTCCAGCCCGGTGGACGATGAAACGGTGAGGTACCCATAGCGGAGGAAGATGCTCTGGTCGGAGAGCGTGATCGTCTGGTGGGCGAGATGTGGTCGCTGGCCATGGCTCGCTGATGACAATATCGATCCAGGTGAATGCGGAGAGACATAATAAAATAGCTGACAGCATGTGTACAATGAAAGTTCAAAAGGTTCAAGGTGTTCAACTGTGCAATAATGGGTGAGACAACGGTAACAAGGTGGTAAGCGGGTGAAAATATGCATTAACAACGTGGAATGGTGAGACATACACTGTAGCAGTTTGAGAGTGGTGAAGCGTTTCGGCGATAAATTCTTTTTTCCGTTTGCACATCTCAGGTGCTCAACCAAGTGTGTCCTTGAGCTTATTCCACATTGAGCGAACGTCAGCTTCGGATTTGCCCATCTTGGTCGAGATCACACGCCACGAAAATCGAGATTTCTCATCAGATTTCAAAGTACGAAGTTTTTGTTTTTCATCGGCACTCCAAGTGGTCAAAGGGCTCGGGGATCGGGATCTCGACTGTTCATGAAGTCGACGGCGTTTCGCGGGTGCTTTGGGAGTTGCTTTGGTCTTCTGTTTGCGTTTTGGAGGTGTCGATGCCGCGGTTGAGAGCTTCGATGGATCTGGAAGGGCATCAGGCGGTGGAGCAGCAACATGTTGGTGTGGTTCAGGAAGATTAGGTTCTAACAAATCATCCATAAGAGCTTCATCATCAGCGTGGTCAGGCGAAGGAAGGTGTACAAGTCAAGTTTTTTGATAGAGCCAAGTGCTGACCCTGAGCCATAGCGATCTCTGCCCGGGCCCCTGCAGGTTGCTGCTGTGTGACTGCGCCGGTGACGTGCCGTCGGTCCCACGTCTCAGGACCTCTGGTGCACTGCCTCGTCCGGGCGACAGTCACACAGCAGCCTGCCTTCAGGGAGCGCATGGCCCCCTCTCCCGGAGTTCTCCTCTCCGTCGTGGGCCTCTTGCTTATGGGGCGGGGCTGGACAGACAACGAAGCCGCTTGGGCGCCCCGGGCCCCTGCGCCTACTTCTCCGACCTGGGCATGGGGCGTTCATCGTCAGAGTCTGCCAGCCCCCATTGGGCGACGTACCCGCCGCCGATTGACCACAGCCTTGAACACCATGTGGGCGGGGCGGGTGCTTGGATCTCCTGCTTGGAAACGGCCTCTCCGCCGAACTTGGGGCTACCGTGGTGTTCGGGTGGGTGAGGCTCGGCATCCTGGCCCTTCTGCACCCGGCTCACCGCTTCATCCGGCCATCCAACGTTGCCGCGCACACAGCCCTGACAGTGGCGGCGACAGGCACCCTCTCCGACGCCGGGTTGCCGAGCCAGGGGTCGCTGTCCGCTGCTTTTGCCCTGTTCCCGGCTGCGGCCACGGAGATGCTATGCGGGCTGCCGGCTGGGCCTCCCACGAAGGCATGCGTCACCACTTGGATGACCACTGCTCTGGCACGCTGACTGGGGCTGTACCGGCGGAATATCTCCAGGCCCACCGGCTTGACTTGTGCTCGGTCTGCGGGCTCCTTGTTGGCCGCCGATACAACGGCGTCCACCCCAGATGCAGGCCGCACAGCCGCCACCACGTTGCAAATCACGGCCACGCATCGGCCCAGGACCCAGGCCTCCCAGCTTCAGCACCATCATGGGCCACACCGCGCCCACGTTGCGACATGTCCCCCATGTCGCCCGGGCGGCCTGGGCCCAATGCCTTGCTCGTGCCGTGGCTGCGGCGGCTACTACCAACACAGGGCCTGCCTGGCAAGAGTTGCTTATGCTGCCTAAAGCTGTTCTTGCAGCTCCTCTGCGAGGCGGCGGAGGGCACCACAAGCAAGCGGCGCTCTCCACACTCAGACGTTGCCAGCGGTGGCTGGCTGGCGAACGCATGGAGCTGTGGGATGAGTTAGTGCAGCCCCGGCCGGCACGCGCCAGAGCTGATGGCGTGGAATTGGCTGCCCAGCATACACGCTGCTGCGCACTGGCGGCAGAAGGCGAATTGTCTCGAGCATGCGCTGCTTTGACGGAGCCTCCTCCACTGCCACCTTCACGGGCAACATTGGAAGCTTTAGCCGCCCAACACCCCCAGGCTGCTCCTCCGGACGTGGCTCAGCTTGGGCCGGCCCGTCCGGCCGCAGTGCCTGAAGTGACCAAAGAGAACGTTGTCCGGGCAGTGCGCAGCTTTTCCCGAGCTTCGGCTCCTGGACCCTCCGGCCTCCGGGCAGACCATCTGCAGGAAACGCTGTCCACCGCTCACGGCGATGAGGTGGCTTCCCACCTGGTTGCTTTGTGTCAGCTGCTAGCGCGTGGAGAGCCTGCGCTTGTGGCCCCCCACTTAGCCGGCGCACGCCTTCACGCCCTCCCCAAGAAACAGGGCGGCGTACGCCCCATTGCAGTTGGTGAGACTCTGCGTCGCTTGGTGAGCAAGGCGCTTTGCCAAGCTGTGCGGGAGGACGCTGTCAACCACTTTTGCCCCTTGCAGGTTGGGGTCGGGGCACGCATGGGCGGGGAAGCCGCTGTCCATGCCACTTGCCAATGGGTGGATCGTAACCAAGCCGATGTGAATAAGGTGCTGCTCAAAGTGGACTTCAAGAATGCCTTCAACTCCGTTGACCGGTTGGCCATCTTGTCTGAGACTCGAGCAGCTTTTCCCGGGTTAGCCTGTTGGGCTGATTGGTGCTATACCAGCTCTTCTGCCTTGCTCTTTGGGGAGCACACCCTGCAATCTTCACAAGGTGTTCAACAAGGCGACCCCCTCGGACCCTTGCTGTTCTCAGCCGCTTTGCAACCTGCCCTCCGGCAAGCAGCCCAGTGCCCGGTCGAGCTTTGTTTTTCCTATCTGGATGACGTTGTGATCGCTGGACGGGCCGATGTGGTCGCTTCCTCTCTGGCTGCCCTCCAAACTACAGCTGCGGCTGCGGGCCTGGTGCTGGAACCAACCAAATGTGAATTGGTTGCTGTTGCCGGAAACAGGTCGACCGTTGACTTTTCCTTGTTCCCGGCCGGGTTTGCTGTGAAAGGAGCAGCTTTCGACCTGCTTGGGGCCCCTATTGGGGACAGTGAGTACTGCACCCAAGCCACTCTTTCCGACAAGGTGCAGAAAGCTGGGAAGGTTTTGGACGCGTTGGGCGAGCTTGACAACCCACAAGTCAGTTTGCAATTGCTGCGGCACTGCGCGTCCTTCACCAAGCTTGTGCACAACATGCGCACCACCCCCGCTGGGCTCCACAGTGCAGCACTGGCGGCCTTCGATGGAAAAGCGCGCGCCTGCCTCGAATCCATTGGCTGCTTCCCAGTTCCAGACCGGATCTGGCAACAAGCGACTTTGGGCGTTAAGCACGGGGGGCTGGGCCTTCGACAATGCGCCGTTCATGCTACAGCTGCTTACCTTGCTTCTGTGGCTACCACGCAAGAAGCATGTCGAGGTTTAGATGGGCGGTACAACCCGGACTGGCCAACTTCCTCTGCGACTGCTGCAACCTACAATGCAGTTGTCCTGGAAGCGGATCGCTTCCGTGGTGACCAAGCCCATCGCCAGCAAGCCCTCTCAGCTGCTTTAGACAAAGCGCAACTGGCGCAGCTGCTGGTGACTGCAGAGGACGCCAGTGGCCGAGCCCACCTTCAACTACTCCAGCAGCCGGCAGCGGGGGCATGGCTGTTGGCCCGCCCATCTCCGGCCCTTGGCCTTGACTTGGACCCTGCCTTTTTTCGGGTACTGCTCCGTTTGCGGCTCCGTATTCCTGTTTAAGCTCTGATGGCTATTGCCCCTTGTGCGACGGGATCGCGGACCGCTTTGGAGATCACGCACGGGCTTGCCCGTGCGGTGGGGACCGTACAAAACGTCACAACCGCCTTCGAACAGTTTTGGCTGCCAAAGCCACTGCTGCTGGGCTCAGCCCAGAGGTTGAAAAGATGGGGCTTTTGCCGGAACGACCCGAGGAACTTGGAGCTAGTGAGGTCGGCCGGCCCTCCGTTTCCCAGCGAAGACCTGCAGATGTGTACTTACCCAACTGGGGGGCCTATGGACCTGCCGCCATGGACCTTGCAGCCACCAGTGGTATGCGGGGCTCAGTGTTGGCCACCTCTGCTGGCGACGGGGCTTCGGCAGCTGCAAACTACGAGATCCGAAAAAAGATCCACCACAATACTGCCCAGCTGTGTGCTGGACAAGGCTTACAGTTCATCCCGCTGGTGGTTGAAGCCTGCGGCGGCGGGTGGGGCCCGACCGCCGTTGCCACCTTCCGAAAACTGGGCGCTTTGCACGCTTCTCGACTTGGGATGTCTGCGAGTGATGGGGCCGAACAACTTTTCCAAGCTTTGTCTGTTGCCCTGCAACGTGAGAACGCGCGGGCCGTCCTCCGACGGCTCGCTGAGTCCTCTGACAGTGTGCCATCCTTGGCCGAGCCTTGACCTTTTCGACTTTGACATTTGGTTTCTCATCACACCCCAAAGCCCGGAGAGCCATAGAGACCAATGACGATGATGCGGCCTGCCGGTTTCACATTGGCGTGATTTTTTCCCATTCAGCTTCGTGATTAGAACCCTTCCACCTTAGCTCGGGTCTTTTTTGGCAGGGCAGCCAGCTTCCCCTCGTCAAACGTCGTGGTGTCTGGTTGGCCTTCTGCCTCTTACTCCTGGCTTTGCTACCATAGCAACTGTCAGTTTTCTTTTCCCCCTCTGCACGTTCATTGCAGTGCCTCGGGGCTCCCATTTTGGAAGTACCAATTGGGTACAGACGTGCAGGTACAGTTCCATGCCGTGATGTGTTTGGAAGGTGTACAGCATCAATAAAGGCATTGGTCTGGTCAGAATAGATCGGTCGGAGGCCTTCAGGTTGGTTCCATACGTCTGTGCTGGGTAAAGGTGTCGGTTCAATGTTGGGAATGAGTGTTGGTGGCAGTAAGGCCATTGCTCGGTGTAGTAGAAGATACGCATGATGTACATCGTGAAGAAATTGAAGAAAGACCGGTTCTTGAATCGGAATTGACGTTGTAGGAGATGAAGAAGCCATCGCGCGAGGCTGGAAAAGTCCAACAGTGTAAATGGGGGCAAATTGAGGTTGAACCAGCTTGAAAGTCATCGAAAACATGTAGTGAAACATGGTTTTGACCGGTTAAGGTGATACGTCAACGTGGAGGCGAAACGTGAAAAGGAGACACAATAACATCGGGGCCGCAACGGATTTTACCACAGTGAAGAAGTGTGTAAATATCGGCGAATAGGCTTGGCAGCGGCAGTTAGATCGGATTCGCAAAACCCTGCTGCTCTGCACAAACGATGCAATGCGGCAAAACCTCGAGTCCGTTCCTGGGCAGGGTGCGCACATTTGGCGACCAAAAAGAGTCGTGATACGAAGCCTGATAATTGCACCGCCAAAGGTGATGCGGAGAATGGTGCCATAACCTGGTTGAAGTCACGTGGGGGACTGTAGCGTAGTGCGAAAGGTTCGAACTCAATGCAAAAGCCCAGGAACTCCTGATCTGGTTCCGTTTCCAAAATGATGGGTTGGCCGTAGAACTCCGGGTGCAAAAAATTGGCAAAGCAGATTTCGTAGTCCCAGGAAGGATCTGCAAGACGCAGTCTGTTGTCAACATAACGAAGTAGGCGAGCTGAAAGGTCCATGGTGGTCAGAGTAGTGCGGTAGGTGCGGTACCTCCGAGAGGGCTACGACCATCATACAAAGAGCAGGGCTCAGAGGGGAGCCCATGGGGGAGCCTCGGATTTGCTCGTAGACTGAGGTGCCGATGGAGAATTGGGTCATCTTCTTAAGGACATCAGGATGATGCGTTCGATGTCACGAATAAAGATCTTCCTGGTCACATTCAGTGTACGACATGTGCGGCCTTTGACTACATCGCCTGTGGTGTTTCCAGGAGTTGCCTTCACTGAAATGATTTCGTCTGGGTCTGTACTCATGATGGTTGAGAGAAATTGCAAAGTGATTCGCCAGCTGTCGATGAACCGATCTGTGTCGATACTCGTGAAGAAGCCAGCGAGGTCTTGATTGTGTATACGTGGTGTAGGGAGATTGTCAAAATCTGTGTTTTTCAGGAGCTGGATGGGGTCGAAGACATCTCCTTTTGCCAGGTTGTGGGGGAACGCTTGCGGCAGTAGGTTGTAGATCATCTTGGCGATGCAGTTCAGCATAGGTCGGAAAGGTGCTGTAAAGAAGCTAACGATTGGTCGTCCAGCCAGGAACTGTTTTGTTTTGGTAGGACGTAGGCATTCGGTAGGTCACGGCCAGCACCAAGAGACCATGGGTATGACTTGCCAAAGTGCTTGGTGATCTCAGCGATGGTCTTCTCGATGATGTCACTTGGGTTGTCTTCCAATTTGCGAAATACTAATGGGTCGGCGAAGGTCTTGGTGAGGCACTGGAAATAGATCACCGGGCAGTAGATTCGCAAGGACGTAGCTCGTTTGTCTTCATTGTGAAAGATGGCCTCCGGGAAGAGCTGTTTGAAGCGTGTGATGTCCTTGTGCGTGATGTGGTTGTGGAGCGCGGTGTAGTGGGAGTGGATGGACCGTTGCCAGAGTTCATCAAGGTGTGTTTTTGGTAATGAAGGGAGTGAGTTCCTGGTAGTCCATGACTGCAGAGCCGAGCGAAGGGATGTATATATTTCCTTGGAAGGTGGGAAGATTTTGTTCTGAAGTGAACCCGTAGCAATGGATGTAGAGGGTGCATCGGCGAAGTGTAGGGTGTCTCCATCGAGAACCACGTGTTGATCAGGTTGATGAGAAAAGGTTGCATGTTGTCGGAGGGCCAAACAGGCACATTTTGGGTTCTCGCCATCAGCCCAGTTTGTAGCTGCTTCTTTGTGATTGCATAAACTGTCCATGACCGAGGGGAACTTTGTAAATACAATACCATGTGGATGGAGTCTGTAAAGTAGTATTGTAGTGTTTGGTGCCGTGGACGTGGGCGGTGAGAAGGTGTCGGAGATCACGAGTCCAGTTTGGGGCCAGCAGCCAGGGTGCTCGAAGCGGAACAGGTTTTCGTACTTTTTTGGCTTTCCAGAAGGTCAAGGGTCGGTCGATGGCATTGATCGCATACGAACGTTGAGGTTCTCCCAGGTTGTTGGCAAGGCGTCGAATGAAGTAGCATCCATTTTGCCCAATCTCGTTGGATCGGAGGCGTTTTTCCATGTGGAATCTCTTGACCGAATTGCTACCTAGGTCTTGAATAATTTGCCAAAGTTGAACTCGGCGACCAAAAAGAGGACTATGTAGAGCTCGCTGTACTTGCGTAGGTGTGGACTTCCATCGGAGTTTACGCCACAACGAATAGAATCCAAACTGGCGCGAATTGGAAAACTTGGTCCGCGAAATGAGTCCCTTTCGGCAATTTAAAAACTGATAAATAAACGGAGTATTCAATCGAGGTTGCCACAGTTGAATTAAGGCTTGTTCCAAAGCCCAAAAGTTGGATTTATTGGTGTAGATCGGAAAGACAGACCACATCCAGAAATTGTCAAATCTGCACCAAAACCGTAAGGCCACTTCGGCCAGGACGAATTTGTTCTGTTGCACTTGCAAGAATTTCCGATAGCGCGAGTGTTCACGATCCAAAACAAAAGAAGAAGTGGAGCCCACATAAAACTTCGGTTGGAAATTAGCAATATGGCTGAATCGTAGGTACACCGCTTGAGGGTGTTTGAAACATTGGAGGGCGACGTGTAAGTCGTCCCACGACGTGCAAAAGAAAATGCGCCGCATCGGAGTGCCTTTCAACAAGGCCTGAAGTTTCGAATTGGCTCGTGGATGTAATAACACATATTGGCCCATCAATGCGGTTTGGATCATCCGAAAAGCAAAAAAGACATCAACAGAAGGGGACAAGGTGAAAGGAGTCAACAAAGCCAAAGCAAGAATACAAGAATGTGCCAAAGTTCGCATGATTCCGGCTGCTTTTGAGCCTGGTGATTTCAAATATGAGGCTAGTCAGGAGTGCATCAGCAAAGCCACCGTCATGACCTTGAGGACAGTATCATCAGTAGTTGCACCCTTGTGTTTGCAAGGATCAATGCCCATCGCTACACTGGCTCTCTGGATGGTTTTGGATGCATCATCCGGTTGGTGTTGCCACCATTCATTGACTTTCTCCAACTGCTTTTCCAACGTGTCCAGTTTGTGTTGAGGAAGTTTCAAGTCTTTCAGCCATTTCTTGTACTGGGTCTCGGTCAGCGACGAAGGTTGGTTGTCCACGAGCCAGGAGTTGACAGATCTCGGGGAGATCAATAAAGACGAAGGATCAAACGATGTCGAAGCCGCTGGTTGTCCCTGTAGTGCGCGTCCAATCGGTGTCGTAGCTGGTGTAGTACCTTCCGGTGCAGTAGGTGGTGGCGTGCCATTGTCCGATTTCATTTTTGCCAGTTCAGCTTCTAATTCAAGAATGCGTTGTTGACTGGCAACGTCCGCGGATGGTTGAGCTGGAAGCCAAGACTGGAGCAGCTGGGCAACCTCTTTCGCCATGTTCTGGGTAGCCTCCTTTTGGTTCACACATTGGCCCGCAGAACGGGACCTGAAAGTGGCTAACTTGTCCAAATCCACATTCCGGGTACGTAGTTGCGAGACCAATTCAGCAACAAATACTGTGGTGCCTATGTTGTCGAAGGGAAGGACGAAGGTTTCTCTGCCGTAGGCAACACGGCGGAGCCATGTGTTGTGTAATCCTTGGTACAAGAACTTCCAGAGTGGGACTTGTAAAGGATCCATACCTTCAATGTCTTTGTAGCTGGAGAATCGGCTTTGGCGGATTCTGGAAGGAAAATCCAACCCATTGATCTTGTTGGAATCATGGAAATCGACGTCAGGTTTCCATTGTTCCACTGGCGGGATTTCAATGGGGCGACAGGTGTAGCCTTCATGAATGGCAGAGCTTCCTCCAGGTGATGACATAGGTCTCGGCGATCTCGGGGTAAGAGTATGTCGTTGAGGTGTAAGATTGGTGTGGTCAAGAGGTTGTTGTGAAAACGTCGGCGGTGGAGGTGGGAAAGGTGGTGTAGTCTGAGTCCATGTTGGACGGGTTGAGAACGATGGAGATGTCGACGGTGGAGGAGGTATGCCAGCAGGATGCCAAAAGGGACGAGGGGTCGTCATTGCATAATGCATGGGTCCACGAAACATGGGTACCGTCTGGTGCCAACCATGTTGAGGTCTTCGAGGTGTGCGCGAACGATCAGGTTGGGAAGCAGGGATAGCATTCGTGTCTTGGCTAAATTGAGAGATCAGGTCCTGAGACGCCATGATGTAGACAATAGCCACGGGATACTAGGTCGAGGATAATAGCAATGAGCCACTTGAAACTTGCGGTAGGGGTGAAAAGGTGATACGGAAGGGCCACACGGCCTGAGATGTGTGAAACATGACACGACACGACCAGGTTTGTGTGAAACATCAGGTGAAACCGA